GCTCAGCGAAGTGTGGCGAGAAGAACTATTTTCAAATTATAATATGCTCTTGAGGTGAGCAGGCATCAGAGCTGAAATAAACTTTAGACCGAATTACCCCGCACATCGCGGCAATAACTCAAGAGAGTCAATAAAAAATAGGAGGGAGCACGCAGCTGGCTTCGAGGAGAGCACTTCATAACTTGTTTATGAAAACCAAAAGCGCATAACAAATAAATTTCCTCAATGTGCAACATAAAAGCGTATTTACGATCCGGAAATAAATGGCAAATTGTCGCATAATATTTGTTTGTGCCCCAGAAAAGGGAGATAATCAAATAGGGGCTGAACCGAGGGACCAGCCCCGCGATTAAATGGAGATGGAACGACAATCGGGACTCCTTGGGTGTCATTCCTAATAAGTCAAAGTCAAAGTTGAAAGGGAAGAGGTTTTCGGATTCTGATTTGGATGTGGAGCGTGGCAGATGACGTTAATGTGCGATAAAAATCCGCCATAAAATGCACGAAGACGAAGGCGAGGAGTCAGCAAAATAAGTGCGAGATGTGAAACTTTTTCGTCGCTTTACAAGTCTCCCTTTCCTTAAAATTACATTGCTGATTTTTATTTTTCCCAACGGAAAACATGACAGCCAACAACTTATATTCAGTCTACTAAAGTGGATCCGTTTAATGAGTGTCATTAAAAATATTTAATTAGTTTATATAGGCTTTGAGGCAAGTGATGAAAGCATTTATTTAATTTGCAACACACAAAAACAACAGAAACAAGTTAATAATGCGATTAATGTAGAGAAAATAATGCATGGAAGATTTATATACCAGTGCAGGGTATTATAATTTAAGAATTTAAGAAGCTTGCAAGGCAGTGAAGGAGTCGTTATCAACCTTTTTGAAGTTCCTTGCTTTTTTTTATTATTTTATAATTCCTTTCTAACATTTATATAATTTTGGTAACTTATCTACAGCTTTAGCTTCAGAACTTGTCAATTAAAACCCCCACTTACTTTTAAGTTTATTGCAAAATTAATGGTCCATTCAACTTTTCAAGATAACTTCACATTTATTTAAAATGAACCATTCTGTATTTTCCCGAGACTCGGGTCAAAACATTTTTGAGACCGTTGTGCGAGGCTAGATTATTAAATTACCAAAGCATCCCGAAAAACATTTCACATATAAATATTCATGAATGAGGAACTGCTCGTAAAGCGAAGACAATTTGCATATGTATGCATTGAGGGGCAAGTATTTTAAGTTCTTTTTTTTTTGTCGAAGGAATGGCAGACTATAGTAAAAGCAGCTGGCTGAGCGAGGACATAAAAAGTGAGCTGGAAGTCGAGAGGGAAGCCAAGCACCTAGCTCATATTACGACATCCTACGCATCAAATGACACGTTTTAACACCAGTACAAAAGTACGGAGGCGCCACACTCTGTCTCACACACACACAGACCAGGGGCACACACCATGACCACCGCCATGCCACGGAGGAAGCTGGAGACGTGCATCCTGCTGCATCGCCCGCGTTGATGAGCGTGGCAAGAGAAGTCGGGATGCCGCCGCGAGTGCACATCGACTATAAACCGCATTTTTACGTGCCATAGGAACGGAGGATCTCCGGGTCTCTAAGAGCCTATCTAAGCGCTGAATTCTTTAAGCTGCCTCCTCTGGTGAACAGAGAGCTTTCAAGGCGGGAACTGCAAATGGCAAAATGTCCGGGACAAGCAAGCAATTATTTTGACATATCATGTCATCTTTGAAATGAACAAAAAAGCTTTTAACTGTTCCTTTTTCTGCTGATACAGATTCAGAATTTGTCACCAAACTCTGGGCTTCTAACCAACTAACCAAAGCCAGTTGTACCCATTTCAATTAGGACTTCCTTCAATAGTTTATTACCAAAGCACAACCCTCTGGGGATTTGTTAGGGAGATTTCGCTAGAGTCCGAGCTAAATCCATCACCCATACTCTTCATGTCATAGCCAATCTCATCTCTCTAGATTACCTGGCCCACACCTCCATTGGCTTTACTATCTCGCCTCACTAATCCCATCATTTCACACCCTTCGGGGGCGATCTCAACCAAACCGGAACATCTTTCACCTCCATTTCCATTTCATGTTAGACCAACATATTTCGGGGTTTCCCATCGCAGGCGTTGAAAATCTGCCCAATTCGTTTGCTTTGATTACGAGCTTGTTGCAGGAGCAGGAGCACAACCAACCAACCAGAACCAGTGCCAGCACCAGAACCGGAGCCAGAAACACCTCCAAAGCCACAAGCCCCAACAACTGAGTTGGCCAACATTTAGCTAACTATTTTTTCACACTCCCTTCATTGCACTCTCGTGCTCCTCTGTTGCCCCTTTTTTGCCAGTCACTTTTAAATTAAGCAATTTGAAATGTTGACCAGAGAATCTTTCCTTTACTTCGCTTCACGTCCACTGCGGACCGCAAAATGTTGGCCCACAACTTGTGTAGAGTGTCACGGGCTGTAATCGCTCCTTGTATGTGGCTGTAACTTGGTCAGGAGCGGTGGCAATAGCCGTAGAGATAGCACCAGGAACCGTGTCGAAGGATGAGTCGATGGCCAACTAACTACAATTTTTTGATTGCCCGTGTTTTGTAAGCGCGCTGGCCATTTGCTTTACTGCTCCAGCCCCCCAACAAGGGTTCCCCGTGTCCTCTCGGACATTCCCCTTGTATGCTGCTGCTCCCTGCAAAGGCGGCCAGAGCTCAGAGCTCTGGCCCAGCCATTTTAATTTCACTTTACGGTTTCCAAACACGAAATCCTTTTTGCCACTAGGTGTGTAGCCAGGACTCGTTTCTTATCGCCCCTCTGCCTCCCCGGCTGTTTGTTTGGGTCCCCTGTTTGTGGGGTATTAAAAAGTGAAATGGTGGAATCCGAGAACCCGAACCAACAGCCAAGGATGCCCAGTCATACATATGTGTGAGTGTGCTGAAAAGGAAGGAACAGTGCAGATACCGGACATGAACTGCACGGAAAAAGAAATGTCTTTAACTTCTGGAATTAAATAATATTTAAAACAAACAAGAAGGGGCATAAATATGTATCTTAAAACTTAATTAAGAAATTATTAGAATTTATATTAATTCAATAAACACAAATTCAAGCTAGTGTCCGTTGAATATTTTGGTGGCCTTTACCCAGATTCGCCTCCCCTTGAGACCCAGTTAGGCTCGATTAGGTAAGGAAACTCTTTGGTTAAAATGCTTAGGATTGAATTTTATTCTTGGAAATTGTTGTCCAAATCATTTAAAGGGTTTACAAAAGCCCTTACCCGATTTATACCTAATTTACCTAATCTAAAATATCAAAAATATAAAAATAAGGCGAAATAAAGCTGGATTTATTTTAAACTTCTAATGCTACGATCGTGTTTAATTTCCTAGTCTCGCAGTATGTTTCCTACGCTTTATTTATCTAAAACCCTTACAAAAAACTTCAACATTCTATGATAATATTTCACCTCCAGTCTTTTCCTAAGAAGTTCAAAGCAAATGATTTAATCGGTTTACAATATCCCCCATTTATATTCGTAGGAAATTAAATAAAAGCCAGTCAGAGTGGCGGCCACAAAGGAGGACCCATATGCAAGAGTCGCCGCTGGAGGCATGAGGATGGCAAATAAAATAAATAAACTCGGAGGCAATCCCAATTGAAAGCGACAATATTGTTTTTAATGATTTTCATGGCCCAGACGCAACGCTGCTCTGGCGGAATCTTTATTTTCCGGGGGAGGAAAATCTTTTTATTTGGCTTTTTGGCAGCCGGAGGGTGCGAGGCAAAAAGCAAGGAAAACAAGCGGCAAAGAAAAGAAAATAACACAAAGCATATGCGTGGGCGGAGCAACAAAGACCATGGAAAATCAACAAGGAAGCGGGAAATTGAAGATTCGAAGTGAAAGGCCCCAGCAATATTGCGTTTTAAGCAAATGTATGCAGAGAATAACAATGCAGTTCGGCAGCTTGGTGCATTAGTTAATTAAATTATATTCCGCAAACTCTAAATTCTAAATCTTTAAATCAAAATTAATGGAAAGTAAATTTACCTAAATCCATTTAAGTAAGCTTTAATTTTCTATTTATAATTTATAATATTTATTTCTATTTAACATCGATTTTTCCTGTTTTCTCCTACACCTAATGTGTCCTACCAAGACATTTCCGCTTCCAATTTACATTAGAATATTTGCTGAATCAGCGCAGAGTAGTCATCATCATCATTATCATCATCACTAGGAGCAGGGAGTGACCACAGCAAAGTTTGCGGGGTAAACAAGAAGTCAAAGACTGGTGATTGAGCAGTTCAAAGTTTCTTAGCCAAAGTTGCGCTTAAGAAATCAAAGTAACTTTCCTCACTATTGCAAACTCCAATCCACTGCCCCTGCGATCTGGGTTATATATAGTATATGTATATGTGTACTTTTTTCATCAACTGCTATACAGTTATTGGAAACTTTTACGAAAACCGAGAGCCCGGAGGAGCAGGCAAGTTGCCAGCAAAACAACGAGGAACAACAACTGGCCAACTGCCTGCGACCAGAACCAGTTAATACACTAGCAAGTTCAAAAGGGTTTTGTTATTGGCATACTAGAAAATATCATATATTATAGTTTATCAGATATTTCATAAATATTCTTAAAAGCAATTGTGTGAAATAATATTGAAAATAAAGCTTGTTGGAACTGGGTTATTGAACAAAAAAGATTCGCCTTAAAAACATAACATATTCATATAAAAGACATGTTAATGAGATTTTAATTTATAGATAAATAATACCGATATATTTAGCAGATTTGCTAGAAATTTTAAAAGGTTTTATGGAGACTTTAATACAATTGTTAGAATATTTTAAGTCGCATTTAATTTATTTTCATAAGAAAATATAAATAATTATTTAAAAGAAAAGACAGCACTATATAAGCTGCTTGTGCAAAAATAACATAATAAAATTACTAATTTTAATAATTTGTACATACAATTTTATAACAATTTTTCTAGAGCATTCCGCAGTTCCCTTTGATCGTCACAGAAACTCTCCCCTGTTATTTACGAGCTCCTTGCGACCACCAGCACAGCCAAGGGACAATGGCCAAATCATGCGTGTTATTTATTCCCTTCCAGGACAACATGGCAACAACTGCAGCAGAGCGGAGCCGAAGTGACCGGGATGGATAGTGTTGATGGCTCGGGGCTAAGCCAGGGCCAGTGGAGCGGTCAAGGTGCAGAGGCTGGAGGTGGAGGTGGTTACTGCTGGCCATCTGGTGCAGCAGTAGCCCTAGCTTCAGCACTTGTTTAATTAAAAAACTTTTGCTGTTGATTTTATTAGCCCTTCGGCAGCGACTTGCCGCTGAACGTTGAGATTTTATCAGCTTTGTTCTGCCGCTCCGGCTTGAGGGCGGTGTGGGGCCCAATGAGGATCCGGCTCTTCTTCAGCGTGTACTCCAGCGTCTCCTCACTTTCGTGCCACTCGTCCGAGGCGAAGAAAGCGAAGCCAGCGTTAGCGGCCAACTGATAGGCCTGCGCAGGTCCTCTTGATCCGAAATCATAATATATGGGACGTGGACGATCAGTCTCGATGGTGTTGAGGATCGGGGAGAAGATGCGCCAGATTTCGCACTGCTCGTCAGTGCGCATAAAGTAGGCCTGATCCCCGTTAAATACATCCATTAAGGACTGGGAGTAGTGGTCAAGTCCACGTGATCCCGGGCCGCGGTCGTCCACCCGAAGATTGAGCTCCGTCTCACGCAGGGACTTATCTTCGCCCTGCCGCTTAAGGCGCACACGCATGAAGACCTCCTCCGTGGGATGCCAGCGAAGAACCAGTTCGTTCCTCGCCTCCCCACTGGCGCTGTAGAAGGCGTCGCAAGTGGGCACCGGCTTGTATTGGATCCGCACCTCGGACTTGCTGTCGTTGAGAGCCTTTCCCGCCCGCAGGATGAAGGGCACGCCCCTCCAGCGCCGGCTATTGACGTTGAGCACCGCCAGGGCGAAAGTGGGCTGAATAGAGTCCTTGGGTATGTAGTTGTGCTCCAAGTAGCCGCACTTGGCGGGATCCCCCTCACGCCCGTTGTTGCGATACTGGGCGAAAACCAGATCGCTCATAGTGAGAGTCAGCACCTGCTGCAGAGCCTTCAATCGTTCCGAACGCAAATCCTCGGCCGTATTTGCATACGGCTGGTCCATGATGATCATGGCCAGAATCTGGATCATGTGATTCGTCATCAGGTCGCGGATAATACCCATCTGGTTGAAGTATTCTGCTTGCGAGGCCTTCACAGGGTGCTCGCACTTTACCGAGATCATCACGGCGGCCACGTGCTGATTGTTCAGAGTGGCGCCCCACAAGTAATTGCCATAACGCAGCGCCAGGAAGTTCTGAAGAACCCTCTTGCTCAACAGATGGTCCATGAGGAAGATCTGCGACTCCTTGAAACAGCTGCACAGCATGTTTTGGAAGGGCCGGTACGTAAGATCGTCGCGGCCGAAGGGCTTCTCCAGGACTATCCTTGTCCAACCTGTTGGAGAGCCGCATTTGCGACTGATATTTTGGGCAACTGCATCGAGGACCACCGGTGGTAGAGCCAAATAGAAGATGCGATTCGCCTGTGACTGTGGATACTGTGCCTCATGTTCCAGAATTGTCTCCGCCAAAGACATAAAGTGCTCCACCTTGTCGTACTCGCCCTGGATGCAGTCCACAATCTTCCAGAAACGATTGTACTTGTCGGGGTCTTTGGTTCTGTCCAGGCTCATGTAGGGCAGCACCTGGATTCGCAGGGATTTTGTTTGCAGCAGAGTGCGACAGAAGTTGAATATCCGGAGGTTCTGCGGTAGTCGATTGTCCCGAAAGAGAGTCCACAAAGTTGGAAACAGCTTCTGCCGGGCCAGAAGCCCCGAGGCCCCAAGGATTACCAACGAGTAGGTCTCCTCGTTTGAAGCATCAATGGGAGGCATTTTTGGAAATTTTATGGAAAATTAATTTGGAGAAAAGACCGGAAAAGTTATAGAAATTTCTGCCCGAAAATTTGAATAGCTCAGTGAGAGCTATGGCCAGGATATAGGGACCAAAGGAAAGGCAGCTTCAATAAGTACTTTAAGTTCTATAAATTCTGTTAAGAAAACTATGTCTACCCTAAGGAAAAAGGCTAAATACACCCACAAATACTAAACTCAAGAATTCCCTAAGACCGAATCTTTTTCTTAGCTTAAATGCCCTTTCAGGCTTAAACCAAAAACCATGTTCCCAACCAAAGGGATTTGAGCTGCTCGGCAGGCGGCGGAGCGGAAGTCTGGGCCAGACAAACTGCCTGGAATGGCTGCTGAGCAGGGAGTAAGCCTCAAGTTCCACATAAACACATGAGAGATTTTCAGTTGAGTCTGCCCCAGCGCTGCAGGCAATTCAAATTCAATCATTACAAATGCCCTGAGCCAGGAGTCAAAGGAGCTGAGCAGCTGAGCAGCTGGGGAGCCACGGATTGCAGTCTCGGCTGCATTGGCATTCCTATTGCACTGCGTGCCACACATGATGGTGGTGGCTCCTATGGCACAATACCAAGAAGAAGACACCTTTGATGCTCCGATGGCCGGGCTTATTCAATTTTCTCCGTCGAAAATCGTAATAAAAGTCCAGTCGAACGTTGGAATTCCCTTGTTTTAGCTTTCAGAGGAAAAGTCCAGAGCTAAGTTGAAAGTGGAAGCCACTTCTGTAGCTTCTCTTCGCTCAAGTTATTTGGGTTGGGCAATTTGAGTGCAGGATCTCCCGGAAGATGGGGCCCTTTATCCACCCTTCTTAGCAAAGCACCTGTAAATCCTCTTTACTCTCTTCACCATCGATATTCGTGGAGATCTATTTTACTTTTAAGTCAAAGGAATGATATTATCATCACATATATATTTATTTTAAATGAAAATCGAAAGATTTAATTATATGGTAATTTCTCCTAGAAGCAAGACATATTTGTCGGCTTTGCATTTAATCTCTGAGGTGAGAAAAAGGACAAACTACCAATTACAAGAAGGCTTATGTGCTTAGGCCTCTTCGGTTTGTCTAACTAAATAAAGAGAAAAACTAAGCAAATAACCAAAAACACAAAAAGCACGAGAAGAGAACGTGCCACACAAGATTCGAAATCAGGACTAATTCAGTGGAGCAGCCGTTGCCCTTGGATTCCATTCCTTCACTCTAACCGATGAGAGAGTTCATCTCACGGACTCGGTGTACGTGCCTGTCAAACTCCACACAATCAATATGGGAAGAGTCTGGCGGAGATTAGTTGCCCGGAGATGGGAGCAAAGCCCTCGCATTGGACATCTTGAGCTTCGATTTGCTTGTTGTTGCCGTTGTTAATTGGCTTTGTTTGCGAACAAAACCCTGAGCACCCTTGTGATATGCGCAATCCCTCGGCAAAAACGTCTTACAAATGCTGCCCCGGCCCACCTGGCGTATGCTTGTTATTCTCCCATAATCATGGTCGAGCATTGGTCAAGTGAGCTTGTATTTACAACTAATTGAGGTCGAAGTCTTACATTTGCATAAGCTTACACCAGTCCGATGGGCATATATCCATCCAATGGATTGATTCCGACATAAAGATTAATTGGCCGAAATCTTAAGCTAAATCGAGTTAAGAATGTGCTTATTGAAAGCACTGCTGCCGTAATATTATGTTTTTGAGCTGAATTACCTAAAATAAAGCAATTAGAATGGAATACCAAATTATTCTAGATATTAGCGAGAGATAAATATCAAAGCGGGCTTAAATTTGTTCGAATGTTTTAGCAATTACCAAGCAAGCAATAATCAAATATTTCTGGTTGGATTTATTGTGATTAACTTAACTTATATAAATGCAAAACAACCAACGATATATGTACTCAATATTAAACAAATTAATACAATAAATGCTGCGTAAAATAATCTCATTTGTTTTCTACATATAAGCTTCGAATTCCTGGCTTTTCGCTTTATTTTAATATGTATGCCTGGGCCTGGATTATGCTCAAATACAAATCAGATGCATCATTTAGGATATGGCACATCCCTCATATCTTGACCTTTCCAGTGACCCGGCATTTCCTACATTTCTTTGCGGACCCTGTCAGTAGGCCAACTGGCGCCTCTTGAAAGTCAATTTCAATCAGCAAACAAAGGAAATTTCTAGGCCAGAACATAAACACAAACACAAGAGTGGTCAATGAGCCCGGATCTGGGAAGAGAGTGCCGGATGGATGACCTGGGCAAAGTGGCCAGGACAACACAGGACAGAGAAAATGAGGGCCAGCCGGCAGCAGCCGGAACTCTGGTAACGATTTATGCCCGGTCTAAACATTTTAAACACAAGCATAAATCACAAACACACCGAGACCAAGGAAGCTGGATGAAATATTTGGCAAACAGTTGCTTAAAGCCAAAGTTTTTAAATGGCCAAATGAACAGGTCAGGCCGGGGAGTCCTTTCCTACTCTCTGTCTCGATGATGTGTGACAGTTTGTGGCAAATTGAAAAGGGCAGACTTGGACTTGGACTTGGACTCCGACTCAGACACGCCATTAAGCTCATAATTGCCACATGGAGATGTGTCCGAATCTTTGGCCAGGCTGAGCACCCGGAATATGTGCCATCTGCTGTGAGTTTATTGTGGTTTATTCGCTTTCATTTACTTTCGCTTGGCCCACATAAAATTTAATTAAATTGTTTTGTTGCATTCGGGCCAAATGGAATTCGTTTTGGCCAACTGCCATCAACTTCAGCATCTCCGGCGCAAACGAGGCGCACAAAGGAAGCGAAAATAAAGAAATCCCTGTTCGCATAATTAAAAGAAGCCGCAACTGCGGCCTCCACATTTTTGTGGCTAATCTTTTATGAGATTCCGCAGCCACGAAAGCGGATTCCTTCGCTTCTCATTCATCAAATGAATCAGGATTTCTTTGTATTTGTTTGTCACCTCCCGGGGTGAGCTGCTCTCCCGCCTTATTACCTACCACTTAAGGGTCGGTTTCTGGCATCCGTTAAAGTAATTGGCTCACGGAACGAAACGGTTGACTATTTAAAAATGTATAGAGGTATAATATTTGGGGGAAATATATTTCCCAAATTCATTTCCCCGAAACCCATTAAGGGGTTTGCCTTCTGCCACTGTTAAAATAATTAATTTTCGGGGGCAATTTAAAATTCCAACCCGCAGGTTGGCAGTTGACAAGCGGCCTTTTAATAGGCAGTTGACCTTTGGTTACATTATTACAAGCTATTTAAGCAGTTATTCACGCCATCGGGGAGCCCCAAATTGTTGGGAAAGGTTAGTGGCCAAATTAGCCCGAGAAAATCAATAAAAGCCATGCGGCTTTCTCAGTTCGGGAATACTGGGAAATTGAATAATTAAATACGGTGAAATTTTGGGTTAACAACAGCGAAAGTTACGGGCTTAAAGCTGCAGACAGAAAACCAAGGCCCACTTTTAGACGCACACACCAATGGCACACTCACAAAACGGCACACAAAGAGGGCCAAAAATGAAAGAAACTCATTGGCATATCTACATATTTCTGGTTCAATGCATTGCCAGAACGGCAAACCCGAAATACAGAACGGCAAACAAGCAGGCAAACATCTCTGGCGATTATGCAGTGAAAAAGAGCAGCGGCATGGGGAATCCCAGCTTGGCAACAGGACGACAAGCCTCGAAAAGGGACAAGAAGCGAGGAGCGAGTAACGAGAGCGCGTGGAAATCCTCCGCAGGGCAGGCAAGCCGAAAGTATTCGAAAGATGCCAATTCATTTGTGCCATAAACAACTACAAACACAATCGGATGGCAACAACAATAAACCAGGCAGGCGGCACACAAGATACTGAACACATCCGTGCGGGAATATAGAATGCATATGCATATGCACACTCTTTATATTGGCCAACTATCGATCCGAGCCATTGTAATTTGCAACTTTTCATTTTCCACTCGCATTTTTCTCAGTCCGATGATAAATTATTATTTGTTGGGGGCCTGACAGTCGCAGCAGCAAAATGTGAAATAATTTCTAGATATTCCATTTGGATCAAATTAAGGAAATTGTTTCCGGGTATTGAACAAGAGTCCTTTTGCTACCCATCGAACTGTTCATATTGAAGGGGATTTATTGAAAACTAAATAAAATGCCAAAGAAATCTCTTTAAAGTCTGTTCTTCCGGATGTTAAGATCTCAATGCTAAACATTCTTAAAGAATTTAGTATTACCTTAAAATATTTATAAAGTTTTTAGTCATTCAATGAAGAAATAATATTTATATAAATTATATGCATATTTTTAGGTTCCCAAAATCTCTTTAAGAAATACCAGCTCTGACTTTAAATAACATTAAAATTAAGGGATTCCTTATTCAGGTTCATGAGTGCGGTAGATTTATATAATTAATTTTAATAAAATTCCGCAAAATTAATTTAAACAAGCATCGAAGAGTGTACAAAAGTGGGGCTCTCGAAATGAGTGTATCTTTACGTTATTTTTTCCCCTTTGGGCGGCAATTGCTTTGATGTGGGCGAATGGTATGCAAATGTGACCGACCCAAATACACAGACAGACATCGGTAAGTGTGCGGTTGAGGTGAGTCGGGGCTTTGAAGGACCGTCGTCCTGTCTGCCAAGCAGCAATCCACATGTGAATCACACACTTAAATGTGTTGGGCATGTTATGACAGTCAGCCAATGTTTATGTGGAAAAAGTATCCTGAGAGGGGAGCCCGGAGAGCTCCTGTGCCTGCCTGAACTCCTGGCTGCGTCTCCACTTGCAGATGAGAGCGTACTTGGCTTTATGATTTGGCCAGGACCTTCGACACAGTTTGTCATTTGCTTCTTGTCACTGTTTCCAATGGTCTCCAGTATACGTGTGCGTGTGCAGGATAATTTGCTGTGACATGCAACTGCTAAAACTTTAATTGACAACAGCCAGCAAGGAGCTGGGAGCAGGCCGACAGGGGACAGGACAGGCGGGAAGGGCCCACAACAACGGAGAGCTAGATTATATCCGGCTGGCCAACAGACTGCAGTTCAAAACAAACTGCCAGCTCCTCTCTCATCTTTTTCAGACTCATGCTCCGGTATAATTGAGTTTCCTGCCTGCAAGAACAATAACCGGAGCAGCAGCAGTAGAAGCAGCAGCAGCAGCAACAGCAAATTATTGTTGTATCATTCCTCTAACGGAGTGAATAACAATCCTCCTTTCCATCAAGCGCCCATGAATGTCTGATGTGAATTGTCACTTTTTGCAGCTGCCACTCTTACCATTTTCCCAGGAACAACTAACAAGAATTTGCCGGGAAGTGAAAATAATTGGAGATCAAAAGTCTGAAATCAAGGCTACTCGTTCATCATAAAAAGAGAAAGTATCTACACTTCTTCTTCCTCTGATTTCATAGACAACATATTAGAAAGCCGTGCATAAAACGATTACTATTCATATATATTTAATATTGTGGTTGTATTACAAATAAAATTTAAACTTTAAAGGTATCTAAATGCATGCCATAAATGTTTAAACATTATTAATTAATTTTTCTCTGGTAAATGGAATAATTTTTGATTCGATGTATTTATTTTTTCCATAACAAAATGTTGTAAAGTTAAAATGAATTATTCTCAAAATCCTATAAGAGCAAGGAAAAATACTTTTCGCTTGTTGGCAGAATCAACAGTTTGGCAACTAAGAGAGCCACGCTAATGGAATCGGTGCACTGCTTTGCCGACGCCGAGCACACGATTCGGGCCGATACATATATCACTTCGTTTCGGTCGGGCCAAGAGCCCAAGAACCAAAATCCCAGAGTCCCATAGCCACGAGTCGAGCGACGAGGCGACGAACTGTTGCGGGCGGCTGAAGTTTAAGGACGGACGCGGAATGCTGTTCAGTTCCGTGCGAATTGGCGTTGGGTGTGGACGCGAGTGGCGGAAAACGGAAAAGCAGAGCACTTCCATCTCGCGCGACTCTGACGACTCCGGCGTTGATGCGGCTTTAGAAATTCCCGCAAAGTTCAAGTGACAATTTCCCAGCCAATAACAACTTTGCCGCAAAGTGAACGCAAATTGAATTGGAATCGATTGTCTTCGATCTTCCTCGATTCATTAAAAGCTGGAAAAAGGAAAGAGGAAAAAGAAACACACACAAAAAAAAACACAAAGTTTTCAGTGCAAAAAAGTTGCAGGTTCTGTGGCTTTGCAATTGAAGCCGAAGCCGAACCGAAAATTTCTCAAATGAGTTCTAATTGGGCCGGGCTAAACCAATTAGTAGCATTTATTCTTGTGTAATAAATAAATTGCCAACAATTATGACTTGCGAGTTCCACTCAAGCATAATCAAATGAAATGTTCAACAAAATGTTTACGGCAATTGCAGCTCAAAGCGCAAACAAACCATAGACGAGGTGCAGCGTGTTGTGGCAGTGGCAAGACAGCTCAAAGAAAGCCGCAAGGCTCGCCCAGAAATATATAATTGGTAACAGCAGGTAAGCAACATAATCAGAGCAAACTTTGCATCGACTTCCTTCAGGCAATGCTCGGGGGAGGGAGAATTACTAGTGGCGTAGCTCTAATTATAATATTTTCGAGAAAGTTTAGCAATTTAAAATAATAACCAAAGGGGTAATATTAATTAAAGTCCTTGAACCAGAAATTTGTTCTTTGTCAAGCATGTTTATTATTTAAACAAAATAATATATAAAACGGAAAACTATACTTAATATTTTTAATTTGTGAAAGAACTAAAGGAAAATGTACCTTGACAATGAAAAGTTGTATAACCATGAAGCTATTAATTAAAAAAAAAATATTATAACAAACTCTTTTCCCTGATAGAACGCATAAGGTGAAAATCCCAATTTATTGATATTGCAAATCCCCTTGAAATGTATTTTTCACAATATATAATTACACATCAATCAAATATTCTTCAAAGAAAACTCCTAAACAACATAGCCACCACATCTGGCAAAGGCTTTTCTTTTCCAAGGGTTTTCCCGCTTGATCCCGAATAAGAGAGTGCCGAAAAAAATTGGCATAAAGTAAGCAAGGGAGCAAGGACACGCGCGAAAGCCAAAGAAAAGCATGTGTGTGTGCGTGTATGTAATAGGGGAGCAGGCACAAATTTCCCAAGTGCGAAGGTGTATTTCATTTAAACACCTTTAATTAATTAAACAGCTCCCCGAGTGCGGGCCGCCTTAAAAACTTCTTGTTTGGCTCACAACGTGGAGGTTGCGCCTCAACGTCGTTCTTTAGCGGCATGATTATTATTTTATTTCATGTTGTGGCTTTTAAGTAACAGACTTAGCACAATAGCAGGACGAGGTCCCAGATACACGGCCCCGGGGCGGGAGTCCCGCGGAGACGCCGCATTTCTGTCCCAGTGCGTGCCGCATTTATACCAATTTGAAAAGCGCGGCTTACTTTCGCGCCAACCGCATGATTATATATTTATTTGATTTTTCCGGTCTGCCGGTCTGCGGTTGCTCTTTCCAGCCCCGGCCTTACTCAGCCATCCTCTGTCCTTGGGTTCGTTGCCCAGAAAGTATTTACATAAAATCTAATCAAAAGGCATGCCACATTATCTGCTCGGACCGCCGTCTCATGAAAATTTCAATAAGACTTTGACACAGATACAAATCCTCGTGCATATATCTGGGTACATATTCCATATACACATATATATAAATATATTTACCGCAGCACATATATATTTAATATATAAGAGAGCTGCACTTAACCTACAACCCGGCATCGTTTAGTCAACGAAGGTTTTCGGCTCGAACAACTCTAAAAGCATTTTTAATAATTCACAACTGTGTATATTCCTGCCTGCCTGTCTGTCACAACTCTTTAAGCTTTTGTTTAAACTCGTTTCGGGGGTTCACCTTAAAGAGGAGCCTACATTGGGGCTCGTTTGAAGGGATTCAATTGAATTATTACAAACTGAGTAAAGTTATTGTGTTTTGGTAGTTGAAAATTTAAAGTGTTATAGATGCAGTTATAGTTGAAATAAATAAATAATATTGTTATCTATAGATTTATGGACAGCACAGCATGATAAATGTGAAATAAGAAAACTATTTTAGCCTTAATAAAGCTTTGAACCAAATATTGAGGCTCCTCTGAATAATTCCAATTAAATTATTACATTATGTTTACAAACTGAGTAAAGGTGTTTTATATTAAGTTATCGTATAATTAAATAGTTTACTTACATCAAATTTTTAACTATAAATTCATGGACATCAAAGCAATTAAAATTTCAAATTAGAAAATTATTTTAGGCCTAATAAACCTACGATAATAAATTAAGCATGAAAATAAACACATTTGTGTGCTCAACTCACATCAATTTTAATTGAATTTAAGTTTAACTAGATCAACTTAGATCAAAAGCACTCAGGCAAAAATAAATCAGCAACATCCCACACATACTATATATATTTAACCAAATAAAATGGACATCTGTCTATTCAGATTAACTTATCTATATGCACTGAACCACGGGGTTTATGTTTCGATTCACTCGATTGTGTTTGACATTCGCGGCAAACAGTTGCCAGTGGCCATTCGCTGGTGACATTTTATTTACCTTCGACAGAGCCGCAGAAAAATAAATAAACAAAATAATGAAAAAATAAAATAGGGCAGGAGGAAACCCTTGCATGGCCATCAAAATTAATGCAGTTAAGCCGGCGTATGCAATCAATGAAATATTGATATTTTTAATGTTTAATCTTTTCAATTAAATTGGCAATGATTTACGCCGTCCCCCCGACGAAGATGTTTGGCCACCGAAATTAATGACACATTAAAGCCCGATGCGAGGCGCTGCGATGTGGCTGTGGAATGGTAAATGATGTTGTCGCATAAATCAATTAAAATGGTAATTGAAAAATAATTAAATATACAAATTAAGTTGCAAGTTGCTCGGGGCTCATCTGCATTAATATGCTCGGTGATTTAATGAATGAATTTCGCTGTGCTTTCCGGGGGCTGGCAACCAACCGCCCCGCTGGGCTTCAATCGCCTCCCCAATAAATATTCGAAATCCATCCATTAAATTCTCATTTCGTATAACGTATACGCCCCGCTGCCTCGGTCCCACAGAGTCCAAACAATCGAATTTGTTTTGCAAGGCATTCACAGGCAAACAAACAAACAAACATTTATTTTTCGGGGTATATCAAGTATGCCCAAGCCTAGCCAATGCTATTTATATGGAACTATTTAACTATTTGCGGTATTTGCATTCCCATAACGCATACGCCTCGTTGGCCCATCGAAATGCCAACTAATTATTCGCCCTAAGCCTATTAGCTGCTCCAGCACAACCGAACCCCTTAACAACGCACACAATCGAGCGAAATTCGATCAAGTGGAAACCATTTCCATTCAATATTTTCATTTGGCCCACTTAATTTTAAGCTTTTCATTCGCTCTCTCAGTGGCTGCATATAAATTTGTATGCATTCACTTAATTGAAGCCCCCCGAAAACGGGCTGGGGACATCCATCTACCAATCAATCAATCAGCGGGCGTGATGAAAATTATTTTAAGAACCAAAAAAGCACTCACTGAACCGGAGGCGGCCAAAGGAAAATAAAGGAAAGAAAAGTTTGGGCTACGGTTTGCATAATAATGGGATATGCCAAGTCTGTCCGCCGAGCTGAGGAGTGGCCACCCAGTACGTGCCGCAGTCACTGAGCTGGGATCGGCTTGGATCGGATGGGTTTAGTCCGGAGACCCACTCTGCTCAGTCGACCACAGCCCAGATACAAATTAGCAGACGGAGAAACAGCTCCTTCACTATTTTTCCTTATACCCTGGCAGTGCAATTGAGAATTTTAATGGTTTTTTGGCATTGGTTAACCCTTTATTTACCCTGCAAGCATATAGATATTTTCTTCTTTGCTTTTTAATTAAAAATACTTTAAATAGTTGCTTAAATAATATTTTTAGTTGATAAAAAAAGGAATTTTTTCTAGAACTAATTTATTTCTGCTTGCCACAAATAAAATCTTCAAAATTATAATTTATCTTAGCCTGCAACAAATAAAGGATTAAGACCAAGGCTTCCATTCCCTCTGTTATCGACTCTTCCCTTTTGGCGCAAACATTGACAAAAGTTTTAATTACAACAAAGCAATTATTAAACATTAGCTTGGTTTTGGCTCGAGGCCTGGGAAACTGAGAATCGCCTGGCCTTGCATACTTATGAGGGCTGAGAAAATAGAAAGAGACCCACTCTCTTTTCCGGCCAAATGGAGCGTGCCGCATGTTAATTGAAAACACAAGCCGACTGACTGGCAGCCTTTAATCTGACTAGTGACTCATCCGGGGGCGGAAGTACGCTTTTGCTGGTCAGTTTTTCTGCTGGTTTCCTTGTTTTGCATAATATGCTAATTACGACACACTTTCCAGCGCATAAATCATTCATTAATCATCAGCCTTTGGGCCAGTCCGATTCATGTGCGGGCTCTTCAATTAGACCCTGAACTTTTCATCTGTTTTGGCCTCAATGCACACAATTTGCAGTGCTAAGATTTTAATTTTTTCGCTTTTACTATGGCCAATGCGTGTGTCTGCGCGGATAGAAATACCAAAGATGATGCATACAAATTTTAGCGGAATTAAATACAGTAAGGATAAACTAAAATAAACTAAATATTTTGTCAGAGAAAACCCATTATTGGCAGCTCAATTTTATTACATCTCCAATTATCCTGGCTTTTTCCAGCTGATCAATTTCACTCACACTTCATTTGCTCTGAATTCCTTAGCCAATCCGCACTGTAGCTGCACTGTAGCTGTTTGCTGCAAACGCATAAAAAATTGTTGCCACATCACTCACTCAGCTTGGTCGCGACGGCGGCAGCTGCTTTTCACCGCTTTTCACCGCTTTTCTTTTGCATTTTCCCCGGGCACAGTCGGTGGGCTGGGTATTGAGTAGGAGGCGGGTCTGGGCCTGTGACGGGGACTGGGACAACTTACAATGTGCCAACGCGGCCCTGGCAAGTTGCAGTCAAAGGCATCTCATCAGCAGCAGCAGCAGCCCCTTTGGTCCCCTTTTCCCGGTAAAGTTATCCTCTCACAGGAAAATGTACGCGGAATGGAGGGCCAAAGGGCAAAGGGATTTGCAGGGGGGGCTTATTACATTATCACTGCACCTTTTTGCGATTGGCCAGCGATTTTTGATTGCCACCCAGAGAACTCTGGGTTCAGGAACTCTACCCTGAACCGACTTTTAATTGCATACTTTACAGGACCCATAAACAGGACGCACAAAGCGAAAGTCGTAGGCATACGATTTTTATAGATTCGCCCCCTCAGGCCATGTGGGCTTTATGTGTGCATTTTCAACCTTTTTACAGCTTTTTGGGGCCCGCAGGGCACTTTAATTTGTTGCAAATATGCGAGCGGAATTGGAATTGAAATGGCAATGCAAAAACAAACATACACACACTGAGAGTCAGGGCGAGTC